GTAATAGAAATCTTTAGGTATGGTCGCTTTCATCCAGTTGTGTCAAACACCCATGTAAATTAAATATCTTACTGATCAACTGAATTAGAATAATGAAATTAAGAAAAAACCTGCATATGTTTAGAAAAAAGTTACATATAAACAGACATACCAGCCTCTACACTAGCAGACTGGACTCTTCATAATACCAGCTTATAGCAACAGCTGAATTATTGCTGGCTGATGATCTTCAAATTCTAACTCCCAGATTTCTGCCCTTCCTTATTTACGCCTGTGTGTTTCAAAGATCAGATCTTCGCTTTATAAAACAAATCTATAGTTTTCTCTCAGACTGAGTATTTGCGAGCTCTGGCAAAAGTTCTCTCAGGGCTCATTTTCCGCGTGTGCATGCTCTAATTCGTGCGATGCTCAGCTCTTCCCTCTGGAGGGAGCCTGCTCTTCAGGCACGGCCGGGCGGGGGGGTCCGCGTGTGCAGCATCCTCGTCCACCGGAGCCGCGGTGCAGCGATACACACATGTACCCCCCAAAAGCCCACCCCCCGGGGTAACACGGTGTCTCCTGGCTACACAGGCAGCTTAACATAAACGGCGGGTCAGACCATCGCACATACCGTCTCAACGCTCTGCCAGCAAAAATGCGTTTGTTTTCAACCCATCATGAAACTGAACAACAGACGGAAACGCAACATGAACCAGAACCTGTATGTGCGCACACACACACACACACTCTTCCCCCACCCTCCACCCCAGCCGTGTTCAACAGGCTCACAGCAACTTTTTGAGCTCCTCGGATTAAGGTGCTAAAACTAGCTCTGCGAGTACTGCTGCGTTAGCTTTTCCAGCACTCCTCTGGGCTGCTGGGCTCAGCTTCTGCCCCCCAAACCTAACCTGTGGGTGCCTAATTTGTTTCCAACAGCTATAGGGATCCCTTTACACAGGCAGAATGTTGCACAGCACGAATGAACCTGCTTTTCTTATCCCCTTCAGACAAGATCAAGGTGCGACCACCCCTTGGCCAGGGATCCAGGCATCACAAGCTGAAATCCACTTGCTGGAGAGAATGAGGTCTGTGTTTGGTGGGGGGGGACGGACGACGACAGCGCACCAGCTGAGGTGGCCCTGAGCCATGCAGACCCACTAGCCGCGGATGCACTGGGAAGCCCCTAGCTCATGGGAGACCCACACTGTCCCCCAGTGGCCTGGTGGCTGCAAAATGCCTTTTTATGCTTACTGCAGCCCTTGGGTCATTCTCCAGACTGCAAGCCACTGTTACACAGACTGTAGCATGAAGGAAGCTGAAGTACTTGCTCCCCTGGCAATGGCCATGCCACATGCGTGCTTGAGATTGACTGAAGATGCCAGCACCCCAGGATGCCGAGAGGCATCTACTGGGGACCACCTTCACAGTTCCACCCAAAGCAGTTCTAGGGTCTCCCTGAACAGGAGAAAAGATTAAAAAAACCGTCCATGAAGTGTGTAAACAGCGTGCATGGATGCTGCAAGCACACAGAAGTCTCATCCCCGTGCTCCTATCCTACATTGCATTTAGTCAGATCCATTAGCAAGGAAAAAATAAAACCACCACCACCAAAAAACCCATTCCTGAAAACCTGAGCTATCCCCAGTGTTTGGGGTAAGTGATCAAGCAAAGACCTCCCTTGTTTCACCTGTGGGTGCCTAATCCTATATTTATCCACTGAGGTAAGTGATGCGGTTTTCAGACCTTTGGAGCAATCAGTAAATTCAGCCCGTACCTCTGGAAAATGGAGCCACATGGCTAATTTATTCTCTAGCCCTGTTTGGAAGAGACAAAGGGTGCTTGTAACCTCTGTGCTTGGGCCTGTTTTACCAGCAGCTTTTAAATACACGGTGTTATGTGTGCCTTGAGGCGACCATAAGTGGAAATATTGTCTGGAAATGCTGCAGCCTTCTTTCCGAGTATGTGCCATGGACCTTGGTGACAGCATGTACTGAGTGAAGTTTAAACATACATGTACTCAAATCATACAAAGTCACTTTTCAAATGAAACTGCAATACATATAGATAAGGCATGACCTGTACATGACATATCTTGACTAACTGGCTGACAGGTAACATGAAATTAAACTGTTACAGATTTTCTGTGATTTTCAAAAGGCTTTTACTAGTCAATGTGCAGTGTTATGTGGGGTTTTTTGTTTGTTTGAAGTGGATTTTTTGTTGTGATACAAAAATACCCCTGCTTGCTTTCCGTATCTGGAACACTCCCATCCAGTGAGACAGACATAGCTACACAAGGAGGAAACACTAGTCAAAAGTCCCGAGAAAGGTTGATTTAAGGACTAAAACATGACATAAAATGGACTGCTAATATGGTTAATACTAACATATATAAGCACCTTGCATGTTGATGGCCTAAAAGCAAGGTTAGAAATACCATTTTCATAGTTAAAACTGTAGTCTTGATACAGCTGCATGGTCTCTCTTTTCCACTCAGACACAAGATTTCTGTAGTGGTTCTTCTAGCACAGAGGATAGACTAGTGATCCTGAGGGCCCGCTGCCTGCAGCCATAGGTTGGAGTTCTGTAATTTTCTCTTCTTCTAACGGAGATAAATTAAAATTCCTACAGTCAGAGCAAGGACCCCAATCCACTTTCTGTAACAGTACTGTTTAGTCCTGGCATCTTGGGTCATGCAGTCCCCTCAGCTCTTGTGCAGTAAAGTACGTTTGAAAAGGTGTGTGGCCAGTCTGCACTGAGCCAGTGGCACTTCTTGCAGCAGTCTATGTATGTTTAAAGAAAATAGGTGCTTACCAACACAAACAGAAGTGTACAGTATCCTTTTCAGCCCGGAACCCCAACCCTGCAAGTTATTGCGTAAGGACAGATCACTACAGCCAGGCAGCTCCAGCAACCGGAGAGAGAAGGGAGGGAGCAATCACCTAAGGAGATTCACTATTCGCTCAGACTAAACAACTCCAGTTTAGTATCCCTCCTTATTTAAATGACCTCATTTGGTAGGGGAGGTTTAGACTTCAGAGCAGACAAATATACACAAATGATCAAACAAGAAATGAAAGAAAGAAGAGGAAAAACATTTATAAATGTCACTGTCCAATGTCTTTTCAATTTAAATGAAATAAGATTATCTACAAATATCTACAAATATCTACATGTATCTACACTGTTTGCAGATATGATTCTTTGGTTGTCTTCACTTTTTTCCTACACTGCAACTATCAAGAAAAAAAAAGCGTTTGTATAATCTTTAAAGGAAATAATAAATATAACAACTTCATTAAACGTTTGACCAAAGCTTTGGCACTAATCAGTTTACAGATAACAAATCATACTGAAAACTCTGATATAACAGCGGCAAAGCAACAGAGCAACATCCGAGAGCCATTTCCCACTGACTAGTAATAAACACAAGGCTATTTTACATCAACCTTTCTGAGAACATCAGTTATGGTTTAGTCAGACACTAAGAATCTCACAATTCACTGCAAATGTCAGATAAAATACATATTTCTTGCACAAGTCTTTTTCATGGATCCAGATATATTTTTTTATAACAGAAAAAAAAAAATTACATAAAATATTCATGTTAGCCTGTATCCCTTCTTAAACCCTTCCAAAAAGTTTTGGAAGCCCGAAGCCCAAAGCCCACTGCCAAAGACGGAATAAACATTGCTATTAACACTGCCACCTGCACAAGGGAAAGATTATGTTTTAAAAGGTTTGTAGGGAAAACACACAAACATGGATGAATAGAGGGCTTCAAAAAAAAAAAAACCAAAACCAAAAAAAACCCTTCTTTTCATAGAGTCATGTGGAAGAATCAGAAAAGTGTTCATAATACTGTATACCAACACAGCTGAGGAGCTGTTCAATACCTTCTCTGAACACAAAGGGACTGCCGTTCGGTGAACATCTGACAAAAACCACAAGCCAGCTACTCAAAACACATCACTGGAGAAACTGTGATGAACAGGCCCATCTTTTCAACAATAAGGAAAGACTACTGAAGGAAGATATTAAAGGAAAAAAAGAAAAAAAGTACTTACCAGCTTTAAGAGGGAAGATGCAGCAAGCAGGTAGGTGCAGAATAGGTGCTTTGGGACTACTGCAGTTTGGGTCAGCCAAATATAAGGGGTGAGGCATTCTGGGAAAAAAAACCTTGAAGTTCCTCTAAAAGGCACCTCTCAACGGGAGAGCATCAAGAGCTCGGAAAAGGATGTAGGAAGGCAGTACTGTGAGGCTGCCTGGGAAGCAGCCAGTTCACAAACTATTGCTGAGAATACACAGCCTAAATTCTGCAGGTATTCCCCCCACCCCGAGGCTGTTTTTTAAACCTTAGCATCCATCGTTGTGAAAACAAGAAGCTGTACATGGCTGTGCTCTTGGCCACGGGCTCTTCTCAACAGCTCCAGAAAATGCTGTTGTGGTTAAGCCGCCCCAATGAACCCCAAAACTCACAAGCAGGTCAGGACCGGAGGAGAAGCGGACAGTTTGTTCTGACAGTGAAGATTCGAAGCGTTCCCTTAAGCTAAACCCTGCTTCCTCTGACAGACTCCTCAAAGAACCACCTGAACCAACTGTGAGGGAGGCCATGCGTGCCCGAGGTAAAAGAGAGACTTACATCGACACGTGCAGAATTACACTCCATCCCCGGGGGGCCCGCCGCTGCCGGCGGCTGGTGTTCGCTGGTGCTCACAGCCAGCCCCGCAGCCCTCCCTGCTCGGCGCTAACGTTACGCATCCCGCTGGGCTGGGAAACACCCGTGGCAACGCCAAAACTGGCGGCAACACCGAATCTCCATCAGACAAGCCGGCGGGCGAGTGAGAAGGGGGCAAGTCACCTCACCGCGGCCGCTTCCCCGTCCTCCCGCCGCTTTCCCAGCGGCCCTACGGTCTTCGGTGCCCGCGGCACTCGCGAGGCATCCGCGAGAACGGAGGCGCGGGGATAGGGAGAAGGGAGATAACCACATATGGCTTCGTTTATCAAAGTGCAGCTGCGGGTCACACCGCCATGGGAAGCGCCCGGCGCGCCCCGGCCAGCCTCCTGCGCCCGCCGACGGGTGGGGAGCGGGACGGGGGGGAGGCGGCTTCCTGCGATTGGGCTCTCCGACTGTCGATCAGGTCAAGGTGGCCTATCAGCTCACTCGTAAGGCGGGAAGAGAAGGAAAGGCGGGAAGGGGGGGGGGGTGGGGGATGTTACGGTTCCCGCC